ATAATCCAGCAGCTTCAAAGAGGAGCAAACTAAGAATGTTGTTTCAAAGTTACATTACTTGTAAGATCTACCAACTGCTCACATTCTTAAATTGGTTCCGTTTCAAGGGGGTCAATAAGGGGCTCCTCAGTTTTTATTTTCCTTGTTCAGCAAAAAATACCTTGCACTATGAAGCAATCGCAGCTACTGCAGCACGAGTTTGATCCCAGCCAGCCAGGGTGTTGATCCACATGGCACAGCAGACCTCTCCTGTCTCGCTCGCTGTTCCCCTCAGCAGTGTATTTCAGTCAGTCTGCCTGTTCTGCTCCCCACTCTGTCTCTGGTGAATCCTCTCACCCCCCTCACCTCTGGCCTGTACCCCAGCTCTTGTATGCATAAATAAATAAATCTTTAAAAAATTATTTAGTTTTGATTTCACTGCTAACACCTTACCCTATTAAAATCTCAGTACTGTAATGCAGCTCCAGCCTGCTCAGGTTGTAAAAGTATCACTTAGTGCATTCAATTTAAATTTAATGCATTTAAAGAAAAGAAGTATTTCACTAATAACAGGTTTTCTTTAACTTGATAGAGAGTTATTCCTTTTCTCACTTGAAATGGTCATGCCAGAATCTTTCTTTGGCCTGAAAAGTAAAAACTAAATTCTGGGTCTCACTGCCCCCATTATTACAAGAACCCAAAAATGCCTGAAAAGCTTTCCCTGTGAAGGTTGCATCTCAGCATCATTGAAAGGCCATATACAAAGCATTTTGAGATGCTGACTTCTTGATAATGGCTGATGCTTGATGTATCATGTATTGACTTCACTTGGCACAGAACAGTTTCATAGAAGCCACTGTTCCCTCAGTATCCCCAACACTGTCAGCTCATTGCTGGAACTTCACCACTACATTTCTGCCAAACATTTCATGACATGGTAAAAAAAAAAAAAGCAAAAATTGAAAAAAAAATGCCCTTGTATTTGATTTTCTGAATGTATACATGGCAGAGGAGTGTGGTGAGGCAAGAAAGTGGGTCTGGCTTTACATTCCTGTTCTACCTCCGTTCCTTGTACAATCTTTGCAAATTGTTTAATTATTCTGAGTTTCAGTTTCTGGTCTATGAAATGGAGACAATGATGCTAACCTTCTGGGGTCCATGTCAGGTGAGTACAAGATAATTCCTGTAAAGTGGTCAGCATTCTTATCATGGACACATGATAAATGCGCAGTAAATGTTGGCTATTACTTTTATTTACTAAAATAGATACTATTTGTTCACTGGTTTATAAAGATCATCAGTAACTTTAATCTTCAGATATCAAGTACTCCAGTAACTATGGAATACTTACTCTGTGACTAAGACAGAACAGATCCCTGCCCTCCAGGAACTTGTATTTCAAATGTATTTGTGCATTTGCAAATTTCTCTCTGGCAGTGGTTCTTGTTGCTTTTTCATCGAAGCCTGCTCTTTCAATGTTCTTGTCTTCCAATTACTAATTGGTCTTAATAGTAAGAGCTTGGGGTTTCCTAAGCTTTTCCTTAATAGTCTGTTCTTCGTGTGCAATGTGTTGTGCGTGGCACTGAAAATGCATTTTCATCACCGGACTTCTTTGCATATGTTTTTTTCAAAAACACGAAGCTGTTCATTTTCCATGGAATGAAACGAAAGCTGTTTCATGCTCCACTGTATTTAGTTTCAAAATGGCTTTGTAACTTGGCAGGGTTTATAAAACTAATTTGCAAAATTTACTGCACAAAACGTATTTAGGACTAGGGTAATTTTTATTGCCATAAAAGGTGACATAAAAGGCAATTAAATATCAAGCTCTCCTGTCTTCAGGTGGTTTTGCGGGAGCATCTCGGCACACCACAGAATTGGTCTCAGGTGGGATATTTGACATTTTGGTCAAACATCATATCCTGATCAAATTCATTGCACTCATCATCCTCTTTTCTTCTTAAATGTTTTCACTTGTGAGCTCCACTTTCAGCTTTAAGGGTAACTGTTGAAGTCCACTTGAAGAAAACATTATACTAATATTCATTAGCTATTCAGGCACTCATATCTATTAGCTCTAGTAGGCTTGAATGAGATGTGTCTCAATGAAAGGGTAATATAAAGTAGTTATTGCATGTAGACATACACACCAGTTCATGCAAGAGAGCATGAACCCTATGGCCACCAATGTGTTTCCATTTGGAATTATGTTTGCCCATGAGTATTACTGAGTTTTAGACTTAGTTAAAAACATAGTTTTGAAAAAAAAAATTGACGGACTATGTGTCTTGTTTCTGTAAAGAGATTTCTAGGCACAGTCAATGCCCAGCCCATTTTCTTTAGCCCACCCTAAAGACCTGCAGCTTCAGTGGCGTTTCCTTTCATGGTGGCCTCTTCACCCCTCAAGCATCCGTGTCTCTTGCTTGAGGGCTTTCTTTGGCTTTTAGGAGCTGGTTCTGGAAGTTATGGCCCCCAGGAGCAACCATAACCAATGAGGGAGTAGCAGATTAATTCCCCAACGTCCTTAGCCCATGCCCAATTCTGAGGTGCACTTCACAGTCTCTCAGGGGCATTATGGGATTGAGCCCCTGTTGGCCTGTTGCCCCGAGCTTTAACCCATTCACCAACAAGCTCCACAGGCTGAGTCCTTTTCCTGCCTTACTTCCTCACCCCTTCACCCTACTTCTTCAGATCACGTCCCTCCAAAATTAGTTACAGCCAAGTCAATGACAAGGGGAACCTAGAGTTAGAGCCTACTGATACACATTAAATGATGTGGAAAGGGGCCTCCCCGATGACGCAGCGGTTAAGCGCTGGGTTGCGAAGCTGCCTGCGGCCTCTGCAGCGCCTGTTCGATCCCCGGCTGCTCCCCGGCCACCAGAGGAGGGTCCCGCATGGCGCGCAGCCCTCTCCTGCTGCCCGCTGCTCCCCTCAGCAGTGTACTTCGGTCCTTCTGCCTGCTCTGCTCCCTGCTCTGGCTCTGGTGAATTCTCTCACCCTCCCGTGCTTCTGACTGTACCCAGTGCTTGTATAAATAAATAAATAAAATAAAAATAAATAAATATTTAAATGATGTGGAAAGGTGTGCAACTAACTGGTGAGGATATTGTAAGCACAAATTAAAGTGGCTGCCCTGTTCACAATAGTTCTACCACTTACCAGAGAGATGCTCCCTCTTCCCTTTTTAGTATATATTCTATGCATATACACACACACATACACACACAATTATATATATGCATATATATTTGTAATTATATATATATGTTTGTAATTTTAAAGACAAATTTTCAATTGAGATTTGAACCGAATGTTTGTGAAACCCCAGAAGCACATACAGCTTATGGAACCCGGTTGAAAATCTCCAGTTTAAAGTATATGACTGATAGTATGAGTGGGGAATAGCTTCAACCAGGCATAGGAATATTTCCATGGCAACGGTCACCATAGCGTCAGGTCTATGACAGAGATGGTAATGAGCTTGAGGGGAACAGTGTGTTTTCTTCCTGGTCCCCATTCCAGGAAATCCCAGAAACTTGCTTCGCATCTTGACAGAGGAAACCTGCAGGTTTCACATGAAAATGACCTCTTTGCTAAAAGCAGCCACATTTCCAGAATTCCAACCTCTTTTCTAAAGGAGGTTCTAAACTCCATGGGTCAGATTCCTAACAGCTTTGGTTCATCAGGTCTCCCAAGTTAACCTTACTGGCTCACATCCCCCAAAGTGCATACGGTCCCTGCTACTCAGTGAGAAAACAGTATAGCTCAGTGGTTAACTAAGCTTTTCCACCTACTAGCAGCATACTCCTGGGAAAACCTCAATTCCTTCATCTGTAAAGTGGGAATGAAAATAGAATCTACCTATTTGGGTGTCTGTGACGATTTGGCAAATGATTGGAGCAAATGTTAAGAACTTAACATTAGTGCCATATTACTTTAAATAACTTTCTTACATCATGGATTAAATTTGAGGCTATAGTGTTTCTAAATTGGTAGCTGACCACCAAGCCTCAAAGGGAAAATATTCTCAACTCTGATTCGAGTAGCAAATGTGATCAAACACGACTGTTGCAGGAGCAGAGGCAACCAAAGCTCACATCTCAGCCTCAGGAAAGGGACCTGTTTCTGAACTGTGTGAGAGAGCCCAAATTGCTAAAGCAAGATTCAGGGAAGCAGGACTGCAGCTCAGGCTGGTTCTTTCAGTGGCTGCCTCAAGCCTCAGGGGCAGGGCACCTGCCCCTCCCTTTGGGTGGTAGTGTTGCTAGGGCAGCCTGGCTTGTTGACTGTGCAGGGTTGCTGTTTGGGGCTGGTTGCTCAAGGTAATCCCTCCCAGGAACAGTACCCTGCTGGCGGCTCTGCAACCCAAAAAGGGATTTAGCAGTGACTAATAAGCTGTAAAGGATGCACACAGCTCCGAGAAAATCCATTCCCTAAAGGACTATGGTTGCAACTACTTTCACAGGGTGTTTCTTCACCTTTTAAGGCACAACATTAAGGCTCTCTGTCTGGAATGCCAATGCCCCATGCTGTGATCTCCAGACAGGTCTTTTTTTCTGGTCAATCATGGAAACGTGACTGGTGCCTGAAACAGAAGAGGAACGAATCTCCTGAGAGTGCGTCTCCCACATGGGCCTTTCCTTGCATTGCAGGAGACCCATGCTCTCTTGGCATTTCTGCCTGCAGTTCAGATGGCCACAGATCTCACCCCCTTTTCCTTCCATTGGCCTAAAACTCCGGAGGCACTTCCTATGGCATGTCTCGCAGAACCTGGGAGTCCCCCAGACCTTTCCTACCTTCCTTCACCTCTAAACAGGTTACTGGCCTCTCGGTTCTCTGACATCTGCTCCCTGCCGCTGCTCCAGTTCAGGCCCTCACTGCCCTTCCCTAAGTTGCTGCAGCGGACGGTCTGGTCTACCTGGCCCGGGCTTGCCCTCATGCAATGCTCCTCTACTCTCTTGCTAGAATGTTCTTTCCAAAATGTAAACATGATGTCAGCCCTCAGGTTAAAGTCCTTTACTGCCGCCACTCCTCTGCTCCCCGCCCCACTCTTACAGACTGAATGGTCCCAGTACTGTCAGACTTGAGTTGACCAAAAAAAGTCAGAAATCTGGATTTTTATGTGAATTCCCCATCCGTTTGTTTATTTTTAGATTTATTACATTTTACACATAAAAATTATAAAACATTGTAATAAATCTCTCACCCACTCCTGGCCCCCAATTCCCTACTTGAGGAGGTTATCCCTCTTATCACTTTCTTCTGTAGGCTTCACACACACACTTTTTTGTTACATAGATGGCAGCAAATCTTATTTATGTTGGTATAAAGTTTTTAACTCTGAGGGTGTCAGGCAAAACCCCCCTGCATGGGTTATAAATCACATAGGCATGCATGTGATTTACGATCCACTGGACTGAAAATCCCCTTAAGATAGGGGTCCTTTATCCTGTGACCCTGTCCACATGGTGAGACACCTTGCACACAGTGGGCATCAATAAGTACACTGTTCTCCCACTGAGCCATTATTAAGCACCATGTGCCTTCTGCTGGATCTGTCGCAGACTTCCAGGTGAACTGTGATATAAGCAACCTCTGAGGAAACCTGGGAGGATTCAGTTAAGTCTGCAGACCTGTGGCAACATAACCAGAACACAGCTGTCTGAGGGTTCAGAACCTGCTGACCTCCCATTTTTCCTGGTTACCTGGGCCTACAACAGATGGACAGAAATAGCGAATCACTCCCTGTCCTCAGGCTCGCCCTAACCCAGTGTCTGCCTGTGCTGACGGCTCAGCCCGCGAGAGTGCTGACGCCAGCATTCCCAAGCCAGCTGTCATTTCCAGGAGCTGCATTCCCATTTCTTGCCCTCCACCAGGTCAAGGCAAGCCGGGACTGGACAGAAATCACAGGCCAGGCAGCTTGCTGACTCCTCCCGAGGCGCTGGGCTGGGCTGGGCTGGTGCTGGAATGAGTAAGGCCTTTTCAAGCTTCTTCATGTTGAGAGCAGACGCCTCGCTCAGGTGGCTTGGGCCCTCTCCCTTGCCTCAGCTAGACAGTGTTTGCACACTTGCCTGTGTTCAGAGGCCACTTCTGGCTGGTCAGCATGCACGATGGTTGCAGAACACGTGATGTTTTTCAGCTCATGAGGAAACATAACACACTCTTGTCACCATTCCTTCCCTCGTTCTCAGAGCAGTGACACACGACAGGTGGTTTTCGGAGGCAGCTGGCTCCCCTGGTTCAGAAGCAATCTTCCTGGGATGACTCCCCTTTTCCTCCCACTCAAGAGACCATTCTGGAATGCAAGTGGGTGAAAGTGACCCTGAGATTCACCTTGAATTTATTCTAATTGTATTGCACTATGAGCCTTACTTCCAAAGCTGATGTGGGCAAGACTTCTCATATTTTTGTTGTCCCAAGTTATCTTGGGCTTGGAAACTTCATGCTCTGGGCTGGCAGGAAAATAATGTTGGTGGTAGTGGGTTGGGAAGGCTACCCCATTCTCGAGGGATGCATAAAAATCTCGGGGGTCACAAGGTGCCTGGGAAATGTGGACCAAATCTGCTGCTGACACCCCCAGAGTGTCCTCTCAGAGAAGGAGGCCTACAGCAGCTTCCTTTCTAAGTTTCGAGTCTCAGCTTCCTATGCGGAGCTCTAAGGCTCCAGGGGACATGGTAAAACCTCTCCACAGAAGCCCTGCCCTCTCTCTGCCAGCTGCCACAGCGCCGCACATTACAGTCTGCAGTGTCGAGTCTACTAATCTCTAATCCTTCCCAGGCTCTAGGTTTCCAAAAATCCAAGCCAGGTTGTCTGTACAGAAACAACTACATTCAGCCCCCAGATCAAACCTCTCAGAGACAAGGCTGGCTTCTAGCTTGGAAAGGAGAAAGAAGATAAAGGAAAAACAAAACCCACAGTAATAGTTCAATGTATTACCTAAATTATCATCTATTTATATGGGAATAAGTCAATTGCTCACAAAATTAAGAAATTGCCATCAGTCCATTATGCCTCACTGCACAGCTTCTGGAACACCACCATGGGTTTGCTCAAAGGCAGAGTAAAAAAATGTGCAAGATGACTGCCCTCACTCCTACTTTTTTCCCTTTATTCATGAATTGTTCTCAGAACAACAAAAAACTCTTCTCCCCAAAGAAGCAATTTCTAGCCTAGAAGACTATTAAATGTATTGCTCAGGGCACCAATGAACTGTACCAATTCTAGTCAGTGGTGAAAATGCAAGCGCCACTTCATTATGTAGTGAGCTATCTTGATTAAAGTGGAAGTGGAAAAATGGTAAAAGATTGTTTTTAATACTAAAACAAACTGCTCTGCTTAATTAGCACTTCCTTAGAAACAACCTTAGTTTTTCACATTAACCTGACTACTGGGTCCAGTCACTGACCAGAGCTGAATGGTGTCTGGTCTATGAGAGGTCTGAGTCGGTAATACGGTGGTTGGCTTTAAAAAGGTTGCTGCCTTCACATACTAGTATATATATTTGGGCAGGTGTGTAGTGAAGCACTTGCAGTAGCAAAATGGGAAACTTGAGGTTTGAGTTCTTCAGGACGTTTATTCCAGCTGTGTGCTCCCAGCAGCCGACCTCTGGGCTGAACCTGCAGCTGATCCCACTTCTGGGAACACAGGACAAAGGTGGCCCCAACCTCTGCTGTGGGCAATGACTCACGTCCAGGGCAGAGCCTCAAAGTTGCTTCAGAGAGTATGCTGAACAAATGCTCAATACCACTCATACCTAAGAAATATGAATGCAAAGAAAAACCGGAAGTCATTTTTACCTATCAGATGAACAGTGATTCAAACTATTGATAATACCAAGTGTGGGTGAGCTGGCAGGTCAACTAGACTCATAAATAATTGAGAGCAGTAAAGATGGAACAATCTTTTCACTGGGTAATTTGTCAATGTCTATTTAAATTTTCAAATGATCATGCTCTTTCTCCTGGCAGTCCCATTGCTAGAAATTTATCACATGAATATACTTGCAAAGGTATGTCAAGAAAAGAAAAATGTACAGGTTTTTTTCCCTGCAGAATTGGCTGCAGTAACAACAAACTAGAAACCAATTAAATGTTTCTCAATAGGGGTCCAACCTACCCCCCAGTTCAGTGACACTGAGTATGTTCAGAGTTGTACAAAACACCCCTAATTTAACTCCAAAACATTTTTATTACTTAAAAAAGAAAACCTGGGGCCTCCCTGGTGGCACAGCCGTTGAGCGCTGGGTTGTGAAGCTGCCCACAGCCTCTGCAGCACCGGTTTGATCCCGGCCACCGGGGGAGGGTCCCACATGGCGCACAGACATCTCCTGCCGCCCGCTGCTCCCCTCAGCAGTGTATTTCTTTGTCAGTCTGCCTGCTCTGCTCTCCCCTCTGACTCTGGTGAATTTTCTCACCCTCCCGCGCTTCTGACTGTACCCAGTGCTTGTATAAATAAATAAATCTTTGAAAAAAAAAAAAGAAAACCTGTACCACCTCCATACCCTGGCAACGACTAATCAATCTTTTTGCCTTAATGGATTTGCCCAATCTAGACATTTCCTATAGAAGGAACCCCACAATACCTAGCCTTTGTAGCTGGCTTCTTTCACTTAGCACACTGATTTCAAGGCTGACCATGCTGTAGCATCGATCAGGAATTCATTTCCTCTTATGGATGAATAATACTCCATTGTACGGCTCTATCACATTTGTTTATCATTCATCAGTTGAGGGACATTTAGGTTGTTTCCACTTTTTGGCTGTTAGGAGTAACATTACTATGAATGTTCGTGTACAGTTTTTGTGTGGACATGTTTTTAAATCTCTTAAGAATTTTTAAATCACTTATTAATATTAAATGACACATAATTACGTGATAATGAAAAATGATACATAATTAAAATAATTCTTATTAAAGCAGGTTCCTAAGGGCAGCAAACCTGCTCACTCTTAGTAACTCAGATTTAATAAGAAACACTTGGTAGACCTAAAGTTATATATGACCTATTTGATCTCAGATTTTCCACGAATTTATGTCAACCGTGCACTGAGTTAGTCTGAATTAATGAGCTACTACTTTTCTATCTCTAGCTAAAAAAAAAATTAGGGCTGTTAAATGGTTTTTAAACATCCTCTTTATGTTCCAAAATGAAACTCTACCATTTTAATTTGACATACAGGCAGGGACTGGAGTCTCTTTTGGAATTTGAGATTTGATGTCAGTTTCTTGGAACACAGGACCTGGTTGGTTGCTATGCTGTGACTTACCTGCTTGGGATTACCTAATATCAGGTTTAATTAAAATAGGATGTGTTTGTTTAATGTTATGGATTATATAAAAACTTATTTATGTGGGTATTTGGGCCCACAGTTAAAGCTCCCACCACATAAAAACTCTACTGCAGGGTTCTTCAACACAGGCACCACTTCGCTTCAGGAAGGACCCTCCTCTTCATCTCCGCCCCCAACACCTGCTGCTGGCGTCAGTCACAAACCTCCTTGCCATCTTTCTGAGTCTGCCCATAGGACTCATAAATTTAGGAAGGAAACAAGGTGCTTCTTTGGGGTGATTGCTACAGAGGCCAATTGTGGAGAAGAAACCACACTAATGAGAAAGCATAGATGTTTTCTCCAATGGAAAATTACAAGTTTGCTTGGTTTCAATCCTTGGTGCCAAGTCTTGGGTTCCCCATCACTGAATAGACTTCTTTCACTTGGCTTTCTCTTCGCCAGTATCCTGGCACACTATCAGAGGGGGAAATAATTAGAAGTGTCTTATAGGGATGAGAGCTCTGGTAACTTACCAGATGGGGATAATCAGGATATTCAAACAGTCCCTGACCAGACAGTAGCACTATTTGTCTCCTTGCCTACTAATACCATGCGGTGTCTCCTGAGACCTGGGAGAGCTGCAGGGTGTTGCTCAGTTTCCCTTCCTTTCAGGGGAGGGGGAGGGGGAGAGAGAGGAAGGGGAAGAGAGGGGAGAGGAAGCAAGAAAGTGGTTTTGCTTAAAAGATGGGCCACTGTGCTGGGGACACAGCTGGTGACAAAAGAAAGCAAGTGTCCTGCCTTACGGAGTGTTCCTTCCACTGGGGAGAAAGATAATCAACAGGGCAAGTAAGAAACACATGGCATGTTAGGGGGTGACAGGTAGTGTGGAGAAAAGAAAGAACCATGGACTTCTGGGAAGGAGGGAGAAGGGGCTGGTTTCAGTCAGTAAAATAGGGATAAGACAGGCCTCACTGAGAAGGTAACATTCAGGGAAAGACCTAAAGGAGGGGTGGGGGAGCCTGCCATCTGGTTAACGGGGCAGAGAAACAGCAACTGCAAAGTCCCCAAGGCAGGCACGCTCCTGCGTGTAACTGTGACCGGGAACAGCAAGGCCCAGGAGCTGAGCACAGTAGGTGAAGGGGAAACAGCAGCAAAGGAAGCTCCACGAGCACAGCTCTGTTGACACGTGATGCCTTAGATCCCACTTGGAGTGAGACCAAAAGTCCAGGATGAGCTAGAGCAAAGGATGATGGGATCTGACTGATACTTAAACAGCCTGGTGGCTGCTGTATTGGGTATCCTAGAGAGGGGCTTGGGGTGGGGTGGGGGTAGGGGGAACAGCAAGGAATTAACTGTGAGCCTCCAGGTGGTCACAGTGGGAGTGAGACACAGTCAGGATGCAGAAATGATTTGAAGATTGAGTCAAGAGGATTTTCAGACTGGATGTGGGATGAGCGAGAGAGAAGTCAACAGGTTTGACATGAGCTACTGAAAAAATGCTGCCTTCTCCTGAATCAGAGAAAACTTCAGAAGGGGGTGCCTGGTTTACGGGCACAATGTGATGTCCAGGAGATATCTAAGTGGAAATATCAGCAGGAAGTTGAATGCAGAGGTCTGGTGTTCAGAATAAGCCCAAATTGGACCCAAACCAGAGTTTGTCCACACATAAAGGGTGCAAGTCACAAAACTGGTTGAGATCCATCTCCAAGGGAGCAAACCAGAGAAAACAAAAGGTCTGGGAGGGAACCCTGAGCCCTCAGGAGGACAGAGCAAAGGAGACTGAAAAGGAGCAGCCAGAGTGTAGTGTCCTAAAAGCCAGGGCAGAAAGGATTTCGAGAAGGCAAGAGGGTCAGCTGTATGTGTGTGCTACCTTTTTACAGCTGTACGTACACACATACTGCACATGCACACAGGGAGTTTTATTTAATTTTATTAGGGTATTGTATTCTGAAGCCCAAGAATCTCTCCTCTTGATCTTTATTGATTTTTTATCTACACACAGGGATGTTTCAGACCAACGGTATTATACTACATAAACAGATGTGTAACTCAATTTCCTTCCCACTAAATCTCTTGGGAATAGTGCACACAGCATTGCCTGCTCCATTATTTCATGACTGCATGCAATTTATTATATGCACATGCTATAATTAATGCTTGCCTATATTTTTCCCAGTGAAAAGAATTCTAAATGACACAGCAATGGGCACCTTGCATTCACCTGCACGATCATCTACTTGGGTAAGTCCAAGAAGGGGGTGGATGGTGGGGGGGGGCACTGCACTGAAAAATGGGCCCTTTATCTGTCCTGAGTGCAGTCTCCTTCCTAGACAGCTCCAACCAGCTAAGGGATATTCAATGTGGAACAGCCACTGACCTTAAGTGAGGCCTGCTGGGATATCATGTCAGGTGGACCCGCTTCTACAGGGGCCCCTCTGAGCACAGAGAAGTCACAGGGCAGTTGACTGGGCAACTGCTGTTAGAAATCGGGCAGAGGTTTGAATCAAGCCAGAGAAGCGCACGACAGGAAGCAATCTGTTCGTACCAACTCTCAGCTTGACAGATGGAGCTGAGAGTAAAAACGACCCCTATTTTCACATAGAGCACAACTTTCCAGGGCTGCAGGCCATGATGAGCTTATTACGTCAAGAGCAAAGGCAGCAGACAGAGGCAGATGTGCCTGTTGTGAAAAGACTGTAATTAACTCCAAATCTCTCTCCACATTTACTTTTGCTGGCTGGATTTGTCATTTTGCTGTTAGGACAAGCCTACTACATACCTCAAATTTTTTCCCTTTACCTTGTTATTCTGAGCCAGAGCATGACTCTATCACCTGTCTGGGCATATTCTGTCTGGGATGGTGTCAGGATGTCCTGCTCATTCAAAGTTAATGTCTGCTAGGCCACTGGCTATTGGCTGCTGGGAACTGTAGGGGCATTAAGAGACAATGTGTCTAGTCAATATATTAGTCACATCAGTCCTCAAGTGTAACTTGAGGGAAGCTTTGGAAACTCATGAGAAGCTTTCGATTAAGAAGGAAAATAAGGACAAGCATATTGCTGTGCCTTAGATCTGTTTATTCCAATTCTGGGTGGGTCTATAGATAGCATTCACCCCATAAGTCAGGACACTGCTGGTGCTTGCCCCACACAGAAACAATAGGTTGGTGCCACTCATCAGGAAGACCTAGACCCTGACATGAGGGTATTCACCATGAAGCCCACAAGAGCGTATCTGATAGACTAAAGTTTTAGGTAATTGTAGATCTGCGTGAATTGGCTGCCAGCTCCTCAGTGTTGCAGCCCACAGTGTCCTGACTCAATGTCCCTCATGCCACTGACTCAGGCAACACTATTTCTGCCCTGCTGCTCCATGAGCACTGCCCAGTCCAGTCAGGGGTCCACAAAGAAGTTTTTATTGTATGTCATGCTGGAAACAAAGGTCATTTTACCCCAAGGACATAGTAAGAAGAAGGCAACCTAGAGCATTTATGCCAAATTCCATCCCTTAACTGGCCAGACTTCATAGTACTATGGAGTACTTGACTCCACACCCGTAAGCCTGCACCATGCACGAAACCAGAGCCTGACCTTTCTGCGCCCTGGCCTGGCCTCTCCTCAGAACACCATGTAGCAGTGTTCTGCTGTGCTGACAATGTCACTCTGGTCCTCCAGGAGCTCCAGCACCTGCCGCAGCACGGCTTCACTCAGGCTGGGGCTTAGGTTCAGGCGGGCACAGGCCAAGATGTGCAGGAAGTGGCAGCCCTTCTCCATGTCTGCAAGAAAGAGGTGGTTAGCTGAGCTTGGGCACACCTGTGAGAACCCCTCTCTCTGCCTCAGTCCTCCCCCTCCAGAGTTCTTGAAACAGAGGCTGCATTTTATTAGGGTCCCCAGGTTAATTCTATGCATATTAGGTTGGAGATGTACAGGAAGATCTGATCAGCAAAAACAAAACAAATCTGTCCACAGGCACCTAATTTCACCACAGTGACATGAATCTACTGTCAGGGATGCAGGACTTCAACCTTCAATAATCCCTGATCAATGATTTTATATCCATAACAGGCTGGATTTTTAGTGTTTGATGACTTTGTCTCTCATGAAATTACATGTATAAGTACCTGTATTCAGTGCTGGACACCCAGCTTCCCATCCAAGCTTTCCTGAGACTGATAGCAAAGCCACTTTAGAGCCACCTCCATATTCTGTCCCTTAAGTCTTGATTGATGGAACCACCATGGTGAAGAAGGGACTCCTAGCTAAGTCCTCTTCTCCTACCTTTCTGCCCAGGCTTCCTATAAGTCTCATCTGCGATGACTGGGTTCTAACAAACTCTTTCCCTCCACCCAAACTAACACCATTTGTTATACGGTAATAAAAGTTTAGGGTTATTCTCTGAAGAGGAAATGCAAATGGCCAACAGGCATATGAAAAAATGTTCACCATCACTCGTAATCTGGGAAATGCAAATCAAAACTACCATGAGATACCATCTTACACCAGTGAGAATGGCACATATTAAAAAAACTAGCAACAACAAATGTTGGCGAGGTTGTGGAGAAAAAGGAACTCTCCTGCACTGTTGGTGGGAGTGCAAACTGGTGCAACCACTATGGAGAGCTGTGTGGAGATTTCTGGACCTACTAAACATAAAGCTTCCATATGATCCAGCAATTCCTCTCCTAGGTATTTACCCAAAGGACACAGAAACATCCATTGCAAAGAGCACCTGCACCCCTATGTTTATAGCAGCTCTATTTACAATAGCTAAGCTTTGGAAACAACCCAAATGCCCAAAAATAGATGACTGGATCAAGAAGATGTGGTACATACACACCATGGAATATTACTCAGCATTCAAAAAAGATAAACACATGCAATTTGCAGCAACATGGATGGCGCTGGAAGGGATCATGCTCAGCGAAATAAGCCAGAAAGAAAAAGAAAAATATCGGATGGTCTCACTCATAGCAGGAATCTAGAAAACTTAAATAAGGGACCAGGAAAATGAATATCTATAAGAAAGTGAAAATCATAATCAACAAACAACTATGAACCACAGACACTTTATGAGGGGAGGGGGGCGTGGGGGGGGAGGGGTTGGGGTCAAAATAAAGGGGTTGCAATTGTTTGGGGAATATAAAAATATAAAAAAAAAAAAGAAAGTTTAGGGTTAGTACCCTCTTTCCTGGCTGAAATCAATGATTTAGAATAGTGGTGTGCACGCTGAAGGTCAAGGTCACAGGATTATGGAAATCAATTGGGTGGATTGTGATTAACATTCTTACCAGACTAAGATAGGCTAGAAATGGAGACTACAGAATGAATTGCATTATAGTTTAAGTATATTTTGTGACACTTTATATATAAATATACATACATATATAATTTATATCTATCTGTACATTTAATTATATCATTTACTGGGTCGTGATGTAAAATGTACTCGTCAAAGTCAAACCTCATTCCTATAGACAAACTTCCCCAGTTGTCACTGTAAAGGCCGAGAGCAGGGCTGGACTCAGCTTCTCACTATTCAGTCCCAGGACCTGGCACACAAGCTGCTCCCACAGTGATGACTGATGGTTGTGCTCAGATGGCAGTGTTTTTGGTGAAGCCTGGGTTTGGGATTTGATGCACCTTTGTGGCCTTGGGCAAGACACTGCATCCTCAGATTTCAGTCTGGCTGGGGGCAGGGGTGGGGTCTCTCTGAGATCCTCTCAGCTCTGAGGGTCAGAGGTCAGAGGCAGTGCTCTTGGGTTAACAAAGACTTGCTGAATTCTGCCCTCTAGTGGCTACATCCACTCATTACTCCTTCCCACTGGGGCGATGAAACTTATGAAACTTCCCACTGGGGTTATGAGACCACCTCCACTGGTATCCACAGTTTTAGGCTGTTTTCTCAACATTCATTTGAAAAAAACTTCCTGAACACCTAACTACATGGTAGCACTGAGCAAGGGGGAGAGTAGAGAGTGCCGGGTGGAGAGCTCAGTCATGTCCAACAGGCCTGATCCAAGTTCTGGCCCTAGAACTGGCAAGGGGATGCTGCCTCTCGGTTTGTTTCCTCCTCTGTAAAATGCGAAAGACAGTCACCTGGGCCACCTCCACTGGGTGACAGGCGCTTCTTACATGGAGAACCACTAGGACCCCACCATCCAATCCAGGCCCAATGAAGACGCACATAACCAAGTCACTGCTCTAAAGCTCTTCCGAGAAGGGGCGATGGAGGAGGGAGGGAAGGAAGGGCTCCACTCAAAGTGGCCCTGCACACGGTAGAGGGAACGCCAGGAGCCTCAGCACCACTTGTTTTTTTCTTAGTTTTGTAAGGGTTGGAATACTCAGGAGTGTACATGGGACCCAAAGCCACGATGCTGACTGTCCCAAAGCCTTAAACAATTTCTTCAGAAAGGCTGTTTTGTGTTCCGGGTTATTTGGGAAGACTATTCACAAGGTGACTTTCCAGAAACATGGGGGACATGAATAAGGATTCTTTCTGTGAGAAATTATCCCCAACAGTGAAAGTGGTGAAGGCCAGCAAGTGGCTCTCCAGAGGTTAGCACATGGCGCAGGGGACAAATGCGAAAGCCAAAGGCAGACACAGCTCTTATGGTACATCTCAAAGAGCAGTGCACGTGCCTCATGTTTTTCCTAGTACTTCTGCAATCACCTCATTTGATTCTATACCTTGTTATCAGAAGCCAAAAACAGACCCAAATAATGTCAAGATAAATTTCAGAAGTGGAATTGTTACATCATATAGCAATTAATTTTTTTTTTTTTGAGTAATGGCAATTCAAGTTTCCTCTGCTATCCAAAAGTAGAATGTTCTTAACTGGTTTGATTTATATCAAATAGGAAGTTCTACTTTCAGATAGCAGGGAAACCAATAATGTTTTCTAGTGTAGATGAACCATTTGATAATCCCGTTAACAGTGCACAAGGGTTCCAATTTCTTGACACCCATGCTAACACTAGTTTTTTTCTATTTTCCACTAGTCATCCTAATGGAAGGTATTTTATTCTAGTTTTGATTTGCATTTCCCTAGTGATCAGTGATTCTGACCATTTTCTCATGTGTTTATTGGCCTTTTGTATATCTCTGGAAAAATGTCTATTCAAGTCCTTTGCACATTTTTAAATTTTTTTGGTTAATGTTGAATTTTAGGAATTCTCTGTATAGGCTGATATTTCCTTTGCAGCAGATTCCAATGGTATTCCTATGAGGTACTTTTATTGGCAAACTCAGGTACCCTGCTCCAGAATTCATCTCAGAGTAGTTTACTAGTTTCAGGGGATTGGCTTATGATTTTTAGAAGTTCCCATTTACAGACCGCGGGCAAAGCCTATCTACCTTAATATATGGACTCACCAAAGTAGGAGCTCGCCTGTGGTTAGATGCAAATATAAAACTTCCCACTTACGGACTTCAAGGCCAATGAAGTTGTTTAGTTCTTTCAAGAAATGAAGTCTGCTTTTATTTGCCTCACCAGAAACTAAGATTATTTCAACCTGTGCTATTCCTAAGTGTAGGTCAAAAGAAGAATCTGGTCAGGTCACCAGATTAGGACGAATGCAGGAATAATAAGAGCACATTTCACTGCTCTTAAAAGTTCCTTAAATTGTGGATAGACAGATTTTCCCCCCAACTACAAGACACTTGTCCTTATTTTTCTGCATGGAAATAATAGATGGATTTAAGGGTCTCCCGGGTGGTGCAGCGGTTGAGCGCTGGGTTGTGAAGCTGCCCGTAGCCTCTGCAGCGCCAGTTCGATCCCCGGCTGCTGGGTGAGGGTCCCACATGGAGGGCAGACCTCTCCTGCTGCCTGCTGCTCCCCTCAGCAGTGTGTTTTGTCATTCTGCCTGTTCTACTCTCTGCTCTGCTCTGGTGAATTCTCTCACCCTCCCGCGCCTCTGACTGTACCCAGTGCTTGTATAAATAAATAAATAAGGGCTAGAGACCTTGTCCAGCTCCACCCACTGATTCAGCCTGGAACACACAGGTCCTTGGGGATGTATGGGCTGCAAGGACTGGATGTGACCTTCTTCTTCTTTTTTTTTTTTTTTAATATACTCTTTTTAAAAAAGATGTATTTATTTGTACATATAAGAACTGTGGGGCCTCCCCAGTGGCGCAGCGGTTGAGCACTGGGTTGCGAAGCTGTCCGCGGCCTCTGCAGCGCTGGTTCGATCCCCGGCTGCTCCCTGGCCATCGGAGGAGGGTCCCACATGGCGCGCAGACCTCTCCTGCCACCCGCTGCTCCCCTCAGCAGTGTACTTCGATCCTTCTGCCTGCTCTGCTCCCCGCTCTGGCTCTGGTGAATTCTCTCACCCTCCCGCGCTTCTTTTTTTTTTTTTTTTTTAAAGATTTATTTATTTATACAAGCACTGGGTACAGTCAGAGGCATGGGAGGGTGAGAATCCACCAGAGCCAGGGCGGAGAGTACAATAGGCAGAGTGACAAAGTACACTGCTGAGGGGAGCAGCGGGCGGCAGGAGAGGTCTGCGCGCCATGTGGGACCCTCGCCCGGCGGCCGGGGATTGAACTGGCGCTGCAGAGGCTGCAGGCAGCTTCACAACCCAGCGCTCAACCGCTGCGCCACCAGGGAGGCCCCAGCGCTTCTGACTGTACCCAGTGCATGTATAAATAAACAAACAAACAAACAAATAAATAAATAAATACATGCCTCTTTAAAAAAAAAAAAAAAAGAACTGTGGTGTAAACCAGACGTGTGGGGGGATGAGGGGATTCACCAGAGACAGAGTGGGGAGCAGAACAGGTGGATCTACTGAAATACACTGCTGAAGAGAGCAGCGGCTGAAGAGAGCAGCGTGGGAGACAGGAGAAGTATGCTGCACTATGTGGGTCACCTCCCTGGCCAGCTGGGGATCAAACTCACACTGCAGTGGTGGGCGATAGCTTGACAGTACTGTGTCTTTAACCCCTGTGCCTCCAGGGAGGCCCTGGATGTGAACTAGTCTGGAGAAAAGGAGAGCAGGACAAGGACCCTGTGGTTATTAGCAAGTCTCCCCTTTCCTGTGCATGTCATTTGTTGACACCTGGCAGTATTTGTCATTAGCATATGGTTGCAAAAGGTAAACTATGAAATGTCACCTTAAAGACTAGTCGGTTTACACAGGATAAAGATAGGATTAATGCTTTCTTCTCTTTCTAAACTCATGTGAAAATGCATGTAATGACTTTTGTCAAACCATCTACAGTTTAAATTTCCAACCACTAGGGGCTGACCTAACTCTACTAAAACCAATTATTTTCTAAACCATTTCTTTTGCAAATTAGCAGATTCCAAGATGACTGAATCATATTGTTCATAAACTGTAATATCTAGAATCATTCCTCCCCACACCAAAGGGCTTAATGTTAGATGAGAGGAAAATGTCAGGTTTGGGTTCAATGATAAAGGGCAAGAATGGGACAAGAAATAACAACTCAGAGAGAACATGACAACCAGATGACATTAAAAAGTCCTAACCTAGTGGCTTACCTCACTATATCAGAATCACTCGAGGAGCTCGCCTGTCTAGCCCCTATCCTTTCCCAGGTGAATCAGAATCCCCAGAGCTGGGATCTGAGCTCTGTGTATATAAACAAGTGCCAAGGTTGAATCTTATGAGCAGTCAAGGTCTGGATAAGCCATGTAAACCTAACGCTCACTTTAGAGAAGAGAAACCCGGGGCTCAGAGGTGCAGGCATCTTGATCAGACCTGTTTACAAGTGATGATCAGGGGAGCCCCAGTTTCCTGACTCTCCATCCAGTGCTCTCTGAGTGGGAAGATGCCAGGCACCACCTGTCCACTACAGCACTTACGGTTTGGTTTCTGGCACTCTTCTTGAATGATACAGTGGATCTTTCTGTGCAGTTCTTTGTCTTCTCTGGTTACCTAAACAGGAAAAGAAATTTGGAGAGAAAGTGTTCTTAAGTAACACAGAGGTTGTATCATCCAGACCTGCAAATTATTATTTAGGACAGTTCTTAAAGATTTCATAACAATTATTATCCCTATAGCAACAATGTGGTTTTTGATAGTCAGCCTATGGAATTCCATACTCTGTAAGGAACAACTTTCTTTTTAAAATGTTCATCAGACAGTCACAAAATTTTCTTATTTGTTGTTAGATTTGTGATGAAGACACAAGTAATAGCTTCTGACCTCCACCTCAGGTCCCCTTTTTTTACGGGCTTGGCCACCAATCTTGTGTGTCTGGTTAATTTTCTTCCTTCTCCCAACCACAACAAAAAGTAAAATAAATTTGAAAATTAAGGAAAAACTAGGAAGAGAGTAAATCTTGCTGATCCACTGAAACACTTGCTGTTCTCAAAGGTGAACAAACATAACTAGTCCCTTTCTTAACCAGTTCAGGTTAAGAGGAGAGTAGAAACCAAATGGGTTTTGTCTTTAATAGTAAATCTAACAATAAAAAAAGAAAGGGAAAAAGAGTAAGGAAGGATGGAAAAGATGAAAGAAGGGGGAAAAATGAAGCACATAAACAAACTCATCTATCAGGAATGCTCGTCTAACTGGTTTAAAGAATGGCCAGATTTAAAAAAGAAGATAGTGATAGCGCCTGCCTTCTCCCAACTCACACGGTTACCATAAAGATTAAGTGATGTGGTGTGGGGGAGAGCTGATGAAGGCTGGACAGCAAAGGCTGGACAAACACAAGTTATTATGAGACTATGGTAACTATTTCCCTAAGGCAAGGCCCTCAGGAAAACAGAAACCCACAAGGCCAGGGAGGAGGTGGAGGGGAAGTCAGAAAAGGGAGATGGCTCTGCTGAGAAGAGGCATTGTCATCAATGATCCATCACCCCATTCCAGCTCAGCCTGATTCACAGGAGGAAGTGCCTCAGCCCTGCCACACCTCGCCCTGGACCGCTGCCATGTCCTGCTGCTCCTCAGAATAGCAGCTTTCTACAGACCCAGAGGCACCCCCAGGGGGATGTAACTGGGAGCAGATTAAAGCGCGCAGCCCAGCATAGCTTCTCCTAGCCCACAGAGCAGAGGCACCCATCAGGCCTCCTCATCCCAGGAGGAGGGACACCACACTCACCCTGCAACAGACTGGAATACCCCTTTTGAGAGTTGTTCAGAGAGTCTTTAAAAAGTATCCTAACTTCTGAAAACTCTAAAATGGGGACTCACTAGAGTAAATCAACACCAAGAAAAAGTTCTATTAAGGTAAACTTCTCAGGAATCATGCCTGTAAATAGTGAGGCTTCTGGGGCTCCTCAGAGTTCTGATCTGTTTCTAGGAGAATCTGGTTACTGAAGCCACAAAACACTACCAATGCCAACGGTCATGAGACCCATTTTCAGCTTGGCCCTTCCCATATTAAAGGTCGACAATGAGAGGGAAACTTTAACTCTGAGAGTCTAGGCAAGCAAGCACTTGTTCTCCTACCCCCAACCCACCATGGGAGTGTCAATAGGTACAGCCTTTTGGATAGACAATCAGACCAAAAACTTAAATGCACATGCCCTCTGCTCCAACAATTCCTTTTTTAACAGCCAATCTCATAGAAAAGTTTATATAAGTTCACAAAGACAGTTGTGCAAAAATAGCAATACTATTGTCAGAGCAAGTTAGAAATAATATAAATGCCCATCAGAAAGAAGTGGTTAAAAGCATATGGCAAGTTCCTATAATGTGGAATGCCATTCAGATGTTAAAAAGAATGAGGCAGATTTATAAGAAAATGGTGAGATGCCTGTGATGGGCTATTCTGACACCCAGAAATGTTGCTGAGCATTATTTAGAGCAGTGGCACCCAGCTGTCCTAGGAGACAGTTGCCAATGCCTGGAGACATTTCTGGTTGTTACCAGTGGGAGGGCTGTTAATAAGATTTAGTGGGTGAAGGCCAGGGGTGCAGTTAAACATCCTGCAATGTATAGGGTAACCCACCCAAAACAGACTCACCTGGCCCAAACAGTGCTGAGGTTAAGAAATTCTGAGTTAGAGAATGATCATACTGGTTTGTAAACAAAAAAGCCACAGCAGCACATATACTTATAAGTGTGCATTTGTAAATGTCTATGATATGCTGTTACAAGTGGTACTTGAGGAAAGATAGGGTTGACTTTTGCTCTTGAATTTATATACCTCCTTAATGATTTTTTTAAAAAAGATTTATTTATTTATTTATACAAGCACTGGGCACAGTCAGAAGAGCAGGAGGGTGAGAGAATTCACCAGAGCCAGAGTGGGCAACATAACAGGCAGACTGACAAAATACACTGCTGAGGGGAGCAACAGGTGTGGCAGGAGAATTCTGCGTGCCATGTGGGACCCTCACCGGTGGCCGGGAATAGAATCGGCGCTACCGAGGCTGTGGGCAGCCTCGCAGCCCAGCACTCAACCGCTGCGCCACCAGGGGAAGCCCAATGATTGACTTTTTTAAAAAACAAAAATTATCCTTAATACACACACACACACACACACACACACGTGTAATTGAAGCTACAAAGAAAACAAAAATTAAGTTGTAAGTCTCTTACATAGTACAGGTTTTCAAAACTACCATCTTTCTGGAAAATGAGTCCTTTTTCCTGCAGCAGCTTTATAGCATTCTTAAATATACGATGAATGGCTTTGGATGTGGTATCATTCTTAAAATCCACCTGTAGGAAGAGGAAAAAGATAAAACAAGCACGTCTCATCTGAGAGCAGCTCCCTAGACTGACTTGTTTATGAATTCATCCAACAGGCTTTTTATCTGCTGAGTCAAAAAAATTCAGGTATGCACTAGCCTAGCAGGATAGTATTTAAAGAACACTGGGAAGTTTGCTCTGGCAGGACAGTCCTTGGTAACCATTTCACGCCTTAGTTGTGATATTTTTTAAGTACAAATTCAATGATATAAAATGGAAAAATCAAAGCGACCATCTTTGCTTTTTTATATAACTAAAACACTGTATTCATATTAGCCCATTTTTTTTCATTAAAATTGTAACTATATATAACCTTTTCCTAAGGAAGTCAAAGAATTTTACATACATTGAAATAATTTGGTGGTTCTAGCAAGAAATATTAAACAGTCTCCTTATTTTAATTGGGGGACAACAGAGGCCAAGAGCTATGCAGAGAACTGTCGAGGCCAAAGGTGGAAGGGGGTACTGGAAGGGAGCAAGACCACCAGGAAGAACCTCTGTTGTACTCAGGGGTGGGGCACCTCAATTTCAGTATTTCTTTCCTTTCCTAAGAGAAGGGTTTGCTGAGAGAGATTCCAGGCATCCTGGCTCTTATTCCAAGAAGTCCAGTCTTCAGCTGCTCCACCATGATTTATTACACTGTGTGCTTCGGGAGTGAGGAACTCTGTTGTTCATCTTGGCCATCCCCTCCCTGGCACAGAGTGGGTGACCAACACAGTATCTGTGTCATGAATTAGAGGTTGTATCCTTATTATTTCATTTTAGTTCACCCTGGAAACAAGGAAAATGGTGAACCACCATTGTCCTTCTGGGTATAGATCTATTTCTAATGTGACAGAAATTCTGTCCAGCTATTAAAAAGATCAAACTCCAAGAAATGTGGCTTCCAAAAAAGTGTTTGAAGGCAAAGTGCTGCCTCTACTGAGAGGCACTATGAAGGTTAACTGGGCAGCAGCCATAGATGAAGCAAGTACTGGACACCTGCCAGTGACATTTCCTCCAAGTGACCAGCAGAGGAAAGCACCCTTCGAATGGTCTCAAAGGCTGGCAGTGCCATCTCTGAAGGCCTCCCTGACAGGCACTGCTTTAATCTAATAGAGCTGAGTGAGTTTTGCAAACACATCCTCTTGGGTTGGAGAGCAGAGTCTAAAGCTTTTAATTAAATGAACTGTCTAAATTTTCACACTTCACAAAACAAGCTGGAGAAGCTGGTCATTAGAGTATTAGAGCCTAAAAATGGATAAACATCTTCAGATTATGATAGCCTCTCAGAAGGGAGGCCAAGAACTATGTGGTGACTCCTACAGGCAGAAAAGGAAGCTGAATGTGTAGCAATTACAGCCACACATCTTTTTACTCTGGGGATCTCAAGCGATGCTGTTCAACTTCCATTTCATATATGAATGCTCTTACTTAGAGGGAGCACAATCGACCAAACATAGCAATCCCACAGAGCTTTATAACTACTTAATCTTTATAATCTAAGGAGACTCACATTCTTTAGTCAATTTAATATAAGAATCCTAAGGCTCAAGTGTTATATTTCTTACCGAGACAGAATTAAACTAGGAACTAACTAGAAATGATTGCCATGTTATACCAGTCATTTTCACGGGGATATACTGCCCAGCATGGCGATGACAGTTAATAATACTGATTTGTATATTTTAAAGTTGTTAATATTATAGATCTCAAAAGATCTCATCACAGGAAAAAATTTTTCGTAACTACATATGATGATAGACGTTAACTAGACTCGGTGTGATCATTCTTCAATGTATACAAACATCAACTCATCATGTTGAATACCTGAAGCTAATATATTTTGATTATACATCAATCAAAAAAGAAGTGATTTTTGGTTCTCCCCAAAAGATGATGCAGATTTCATAAGATCAAGCAGCAATAAGAGAATGTGTAGGCCTGTGAGATTAAAAGCACAGTTCCAGCTGTAACCAAGGACCCACCAGAAAAGGTTCTCTGAAAATAGAGACAGTATGTGAAGCTTCCTTCCCAAACACCACTTGCCTCCACTGACCTGAGGACCTATTTCCCTGCTGGCTATAAAGACACAGTCTCAAGGGAAAAGCCTCCAATCTTCTCTTCTAACCACTTTTTCCTGGCCTGGGATTTGTGTCTTTCTTGTCTTTTTCTAAAGAGCCATGACAAACTCATCCAACTCAGGAAAACGAAACTGCTCAGAGACAAAACAGAGACTGGCTGAACGAGCTGGGCCTCAGCAGACCTCTCATCTCAGGTCAGGAACTGGGTGGATCTCTGAAATATATATAGTCTTCACTCCCAAACAAATTCAACATTTATTCAGCTGTCAAAGAAACAATAGTTTTGAAAGGTCTGCTTATCATGTTTCTGGATTTGCTAAGAAGGGCTACTATGGAAAAAAGGGGGGGGGGAACATTCAAAGCCAACCTCCCCCTGCCTTGAAATTAGAACACTGCCACAATTAGTTTTCATTAAGCTATCATCTGTATAACAACTGAGAGTACCAATGGATCTAGGGTTTCACCATCATGATAGAGCATCCTTAGTCTCCCAGGGTTTTATTATGTAGAATTCAATTCAATGTCAATAACTCTCCCAACCAGAGCTAGGTGAAGGAATAATCCATAACTGACAGAAAATAGTTTCCAAAGACAAAAAAAGTAAAGTGCCACATTCATTTCTTTGTACATAAAGCACTGAGCTGACACAAGTTTCTGCTCCAAGCATTTTCCAGAAGCTCTTGTGCAAAAAGTTCCCCATGGATCCTTCTGAATAGTCTTCAAAGAGTCCTCAGCTCTGGCTACTTAATTGTAGCTACTGCAGAAGAGCTGGTTCACTGGAGGAATGTGTTTTTTGCTAAACTTTAAAGTTTCCTTCCAAACATGCTGACAGGAAATCTTAGGAAGCCAAGTTGGCATCGAGCCGCCTCTAAATGATTAAATGGGAAGGTCAATCTTGCTGTCAGCAGACAGCTGGGGAGCTGCGACTGTTTAGGGGCCCCGGTGGCATGGAACAAAGCGGCAGTCGTGACCTTCTCCACTTGGGTGTTTCCTGAAACCTGACCCCTCATCTCCGCCTATAAAATTGTGGGTCACTGGGCACACAAGCCTGGTGCCAGGAAGAGATAATTAGGTTCACGAATGAAACTGAGAAGCAATGGTCATGACTAGGAGGTCAGGGTGGGGGACCTAGTATCTGTTCCACCAGAATCATCAAGAACAACACGTTACCTAATGAAGGTATCCCCAGCAGCCCTGGTGAAACATCTGAAGGCTCAGCAATGAAGAGAGTGGTTAAATAACAAGACATATAACAAAACAGTATTGTAAATCTCTATATTCTACTAGGGAAGGCTCTACAAGACATGCTGTTCAAAATATAAGCCATAAATATGCTACAGGTGGCCTCTGATATATGATAGTTCCACTTAAGATTTTTCAATTCTATGATGGTGTGAAAGTGATGTACATTAAGTAGAAGCCAAAATTTGAATTGTGATCTTTTCCTGGACTGGTGACATGTGGTGTGACACTTGTGGTGCTGGAGAGTGGCAACAAGCTGCAGCTACCGGCCAGCTGTGAGATCGAGAAGGCAAACAACCTCCTACCCGAGATTCTGAAGCCTCATCAGAAGAGAAAAACTGATGACTCTGTCACTGCAACATCCCCATCTTCCAGCAATTAATTTTAGCTCAATGCCTTATTCTTCAGGTCCAGGGTGCTTTCACCGGTGCACGCTAGTGCTGGGAACCCAGGCCATTCTGGCTTCCCCTTTCAGTGCAACATTCAATAATCTGCATGAAACGTTCCATAAAGGGGCTTGTGTGTTAGAGGATTTTGCCCACTATAGGCTACTGCAAGCATCTGAGCAATTTAAGGCAGAAGAGGCTAAGCTGTGGTATTTGTAGGTTAGGTGGATTGCGTGCATTTGCTATTTGACACTGTCAGCCTATGATGGGTTTATCAGGACAGGACCCATCATAAATGGGGGAAGATCTGTAGCATTTAGCACACTACCATTTGTATAAAAAGTGAGGGATACAATTACTATAATTTATATATGCATATACTATCTCTGGAAGGATACTGAGACCAGTAATGATATTTACCTATTGGGGAAAGAAGTAGGAGGGAGCATGGGAAGGAAACTTATCTTTAACTAGATATTACTGGAATTATTTCAATTTTAAAAAACATTCATTCTTCTATTAACAAATAATTATTGAGAACCTACATGATGACAGACCTGTTTTAGGCCATGACTCTAAAGAGCCAAGAATAAGACAGACAAGATGTCTGATTTTATAGAATTTGAATTCTGGGAGAGGAATAGGTAGGCAAAAAATTAATACCAGTGTCATGAGATGTAGAAATAGGGTGACAACATAGGGAAGAAGCAGAGGGACTTCAGAGCAAATGGTCTGGGAGGGCAAGAAGGTGACATTTAAGCTGAGATCACTCCCTGGTGGAATAAATGAAATAAATGTAGGTCATTTTACAACAAATATCCTAAAAGGTGCAGTGGGAGAGAGAGTTTAAAACAAAAGTCTCAAACAATTCTTAAGAATTCTTGGAATTAATTCCAAGCAAACAGTAAACACCAAACAGCATAAATTTACCTGTTACTCCAGGGGTGGGGAAAAAAAGGGGGCAACTCTTTCCAGGAGAAATAAAAAATTACTTAACTGTTCCTTACAATTTCTACTTATAAACCAGACTGAATGTTACTTGGTTTTTATTTATACTCCTAAAACACATCAGGTTAATGTTATTCTGAAAAAGAGACAAGTCATTCAAATCCTTTGTTTGAAGTGCCAGAATCATCTTGCTCATCAATATAAAATACCAGATGGATAATTACCTTTTCTCCTCTACTTCCCTTCATCTGGATTCTGCTAAGACTAAATACCCACCTCCAGAAGTTCTAAGAAGTACCACCATCCTTAGACTATTCTCTTTCTTTCTAACCAAAGATTAAGATTAATGAGGCTAAGTAAGGGGAGTTTGGAAAGGGAGGTCCAATCTCATTTCAAATTCTTAGTGGTCAGTGACCTTTCCAGAACAGAAAAAACACATGGCAGAACCATAACCCCTACTCCCCGAGTCCACCTGCCAGTCTAACACCCGTCACATCCACCCACACCCCTCAGCTGCAGATCTGGGGGATGCTGCACTTACTTGGTTGGAACAGGCACTGTGAATCACAGGTTGATTGGCAAGGGAGAGCAGCGCCTCCTCCATTTCCAACTCCTGCTGGTAAAAGGCGTGCACTCTCTTTTCCAAGAGGAATTCTTTGGCTTTTTCACTCAGCAAACTCGTAAGACTGTCAAGGTCCAGAGTACTTGGGTTGCTGTTGGGGGCAGGTTTTAAAGAACCTTTCAGGAAACTATTACCTCTGTTCCTTTTGGATGTGCATAAAAAAAACTGAGCTAGTCAGTGCAACACTATATTGGTGCTTGCTTTTGACAAAGGGCAACTGATATAGTGAACACAGAGATAGAACTATGGGAACTAACAGATATTTGTGATGGATCAAGGAAAAAAGTCAAGCTGGGGAAGGGTATGTAAGGGATAGGCCTATTTTTGTAAAAAAACAAATGACAACCCACAAAATACGTGGGTGAATATTCATATGTTTGTATGCACAGAAGACAAAAATCTGAAAGGATCCACATCAATCTAGGAACAGCAGTAACCTCTGGGGAATGAAACTGAGGTGGACGAGAACTTTCGCTTTTGACTTCATACAAGTCATAGTTCGTTTAGTCAATATATTTTTTTGGCATATATAATATATACAAATATTTATAACCATTAAAAATTGAAAAGTCTCCTTTCTATTGGTTCTGTCTCCTTCCAGAGCTCTTGTCTTGAAACTTAAACTGCAAACACACATAGTGTTACTCCTGGGCCCACCCTGCCATCCGGGTTCCCATTGCCTGGCTTTCTGCTAGGGTTGCAGCTTCAGTGATAAGACAACTTACCTTAGTGCCTTTTCCTTCTCGAGGGCTGGGCTGCAGAAAGGCTGGTCATAGATTCTCCTGTAGAGCATGGGCAGCTCCTGCATCCTTGCAATTTGAATGTTGCACACTGGATCATCCACTTTATCTAACAAGCCACGGGGGGAAACATGCCATAGAAATTAGAGATAGGCTCCACCCCAAGTCCAAATTGCTACTAGATGATAGCAAAGCAGGCACTTAAGAGAATCTCTGTCCTGTGTAGCCAGCGGTTAGTCTAGCACTAGATGGTTCCCAGGGATCCCATGAGAGGGAATGCAATGGCAGGAGCTGACAGGGTCAGGGGAAGGCACTGGGGACACATCTCTTATGGGTAGATGGCAGGGGTTGACCTTGAGATTTCCAGCTGAAAACTGGCTGGCACAGTGCAAAGGGCATTACTCAGAAGATGCAGGACGGTCATATTTCTGATAAGCTGTTTTCTGTCAAAGTTAATGGACTCAATGGGGTGGAAGAACTCTCCATCATTTTGCAGAATATGAACACTGCTCCAGGGGTTTCATGCTTTGAACCTCAAGGCACTTTAGAAACTATGCGGTCCAAATAAATTTTCTAATTCTATACAATAAATCCTTTGTTTTTGTCCCCATTTTACTAATAGTTACTTCTCTTGAAAATAAAGCTAATAAATGCTGATTTTTCTAAAGCAATATAATCACCTCCATTCAATACAGTTCAATCTTTTTAGCTGAACTTTTTATTAGTTTGACTTATAGCTAAGCAAGAGTTTACTGGGTACATAACCGACCAACAACTAACTGGCAGTCATATCTTGTACTTACAATAAATAGTGGCACGAATTTCTCGCTCTTCTCTGTACGTGCGGACATAACCTCTGATCCGGATAATGTCCCCAATTTCTATCTTCTTTCTCTGCTCAATGGTCTCTTGCAGCTTCTTGAGCTGTGAGGTTAAGCTCAGTTCTCTAGCACTTGGCACAGCTACAGTTGTTATAACCAGAAAGGAGAGAAAGGCATAACTCAAGCACGACTATAGGATAGTTTTGGAGTAAGACCAACACAAGATATTTATTTATTTTATTTCTGATTGGTTGCTCTACTATAAAAAATCTGCACCACCTTTAAAATTCTCTACTGAATAAAAGGTACAAGCTACAATTATTCAAAAGTGGAGAAAAAGGAATGGAGAGTGGAAGGAGGCTTGATAACCCAAGGGTTGAGCTTGGACATACTGTCTGGTACCCTTGTATCATCAGTGTGGTGAAAGGGCTCTGTGTGGTCCTGAGCTCTGGATTCTGTAAGGTTCAGCCAGGGTTGGGGGCAACAGCTCTAAATAATCCTTTAATGTGTCTTTGCAGGGAGACAGAGGTCTGGCATTACAGGAAAGGCTACCCAAGAGTTTCCATTTGTGGTTTTGGTTTATAGAGCAGGTAAATTCACCTTAGGCTGAATTCCCACCTAAGTACTCAATACTCTAACTTTTCATCTTTGTTGAGTAAATAAGCTAATCTCAGTATCTCTCTCTCCCTCCCTTCTACTCCCTCCCTTTCTCTCTCACCATTTAAATAATACACTTAAGCAACTTCATTCTAAATGATTTCTAAATGAAATTCTAAATGATTTCTGCCACTTAAATTTACTTCTAATTGTATTAGTTAAATACTAGCAAGAACAGCCATGAATGTTTGGGAAATACAGGTGCTGTTTCAAGGACTTTATAATGTATGAGCATCTAATCCACACAACCACTTCTATTATAGCCCCATTATATAGATGCAGAAACTGATTCACAGAGTGGTCATGTGCCTTGCCCAAAGTAAAACAATTTAGCAACAAAGCAGGTGCTTGAACCCAGCAGGTGCTTGAACCCAGGAAAACACAAACAGGTTTATAGCTTGGTACATATTGTCAGAATATTTGCCAGAAAAAACAATCTCAAGCACTCTCTTTTTATGAGGTGTGAGCAGCAATGCAAGCATGCTTGAGGTTCCTGCACCATCTTCAGTCACTTTTAGATTTTTAATGCCTTAAAAAATGTGATTCCATAATGGTTTATTTTGCTTTTAAATTGCCAGAGAGAGGCTGTGTGGTTTTATATAAGATGATCTACTCTCTGTATTTCTTTATAAGTTCTTCATCTCTTCTGAATACTTTTGTTAATTTCTGAAAAAATTTTAGGGCAGCTTTATCAGTTATGCCTTTTACATCCACACTATCCACTCTTCTCATTTCATTGTTTTCTTTCTTATGTTTATTTGATTTCATTTTATTACATAAATGTTTAGGAAAATCTAAATCTTTTAGTGTATCACTCTTGTCAGTGGGTTATTTTAAGCAACCCTTTTTTTAAAGGGTTAAATAGCTCTAAATTAACCTGTAAAATGTCTTTGCACGGAGACAGAGGTCTGGCATAAGGGTAAAGGACACCCAAGAGTTTCCACTTGCAGTTTTGCTTGTGGGGAGAAAGATTCACCTTAGGCTGAATTCCCACGTAAGTACTCAACACCTTAATCTCTCACCTAGTTGGGTAACTAGGCTAATCTCCTCTCTTTCTCTCCCTCACTCCCTCTCTTTCATTGCCCCTTCACTGCTTCCTTCCACTTTTCTCCCTTCCTCACCACTTAAATTATAAGCTTCACCAACTTGATATTTTAAAAATATTCTTGTGTACCCAAACTAGCGACATTGGTTAAATGCTTAGTATTTTCTACTGCTATACCCTCCCTAGTTCATCATATACTAGGATTCCTATGATGGAATGAATCTCTCTTTTGGTCTGTTCACCAAATTTTCAGCTTTTGAATCTGATACCACTTAGATAACCATAGTTTTGTAAAGTGCAAAGGTATTACTTTCCTTTTAACACATCTACTACACCAAGGGCAAGAGCAGTGCAGGGAGAGCGCTGTGTATCCAGTAACCAACAGCTAGGAATCTAGACACAATCAGCTCGAATGCTACTCAGTTTACTAGGTTTCTTCAGAAAATACCCAAGTATTACTTTTTAAAAGGTTATTCCATCTGTGTTCTGTTCCCCAAGTCCTTGTCTCCTTAGGCTGAATTCTAAGTGTACTTACAAATTTCACTGCCATTATTCAGACAATATAAATGATAAGCAATGATTCATCTAGCATGGCTGAAATGGTCAGATGGACGGCTGGTCTGAGAAAGGGAGGCCCAGCTTTCATTTAAAAGGTGAGCCAAGTTGCCGAGGGAAGGGCTCAAGCTGTGTAATTTAATGAGCGTAATGAGATGGCTGGAGCCTGACAGAATTTCATTTTAAGTAGCCTATTCCTCCTTGAAAGATAAACCCGCTCTAAAATTCTAATATTAAGGGCCAAGCTTTCTTAACTTTTCTCATAAGCTTAAGTTCAAATGGTACATTCAATGTGACATTTATAGGAGTTAATATTATATTCTTATTCCTTAACTGACTGGAACAAGATTTTGACTGAGACTAAATTTTGTTTAAAAAATTAGTCTTCCCTGGCCACTTCCCAGTGGAAAGTTTTTAAGCTGCGGGCAATAAAATTAAAAGGAGAGAATAGGCTAGTAAGGAACAATGTTAAAATATCACTTTTTATGTGAGAATCATTTTCAGATTTTCTCCTTATACTCTTACCTTCTCTCATCAGTCTTAAAGCCATTGCCAATTAAGGTTAGCCTCTGTGACTACTCTTCTATGTATCCATGTGCAAACATCTCAAAACCTAACTCAAGATTAATAGGCATTTTATCTAAATAAGAATTATATAAAATTTCCGTTAATGTCATTTCTTAAAAAAAGTTGATTTTGAAAATTTAACAATGCCTGAAACAGGGGTCTGCAAACTATAACCCACGGGCCATCCCATGTGTAGCCTGCCTCTGTAAGTAAGTTTTAATGTAACAAAGCCATGCCGTTTGTTTACGAACATTGTTTATGGCTGCTTCTGTATTGAATAGTATTGAATAGCCCATTGGAGGCTCTAGGGCCCACAAAATACTTATCTGGTCCTGCACAGGAAAAGGTTTCAGCCTTGGTCTGAAACTGTTATATACATTCAAATGACACCTTCTGATTGAAGAAAGAGAAAATACTAGTACTCTCACCTGCAAATCATTTCAATACCCTGGACATATATGAAACTCATCTCATTTGGGCCTCCATGGTGGTGAGGGGTTAAAGTATCAGCACTGTCAAGCTCTCACCAGCACTGCGATGTAAGTTTGATCCCTGGCCAGGGAGCTACCCACATGGTGCAGCAGACCTCTTCTGTCTCGCCCGCTGCTCCCCTCAGTGGTGTATTTCAGTAGATCTGCCTGTTCTGCTCCCCTCTCTGTCTCTGTTGAATCCTCCTATCCCCTCACATCTCTGGTGTATATTCCAGTTCTTGTATGCATAAATAAATAAAAATAAATCTTTTAAAAAACCCTCATCTCATTTGGTCAAGTAAGCATATATCTTGCTTGTGAGCTAACTGCATGAAAACCTGCTGTATTCTTTATTTTTCTGTTTTTTTTTTTAAAGATTTATTTATTTTTATACAAGAACTGGGGTACAGGCCAGATGCGCGGGAGGGTGACCTCTACACTGGAGATGGAGCAGGGAACAGAACAGGCAGACTGAAGAAATACACTGCTGAGGGAGCAGCAGGCGAGACAGGAGAGGTCTGCTTCACCACGCGGGATTCTCGCCGGCCAGCCGGCCGGGATCAAACCCATGCTGCAGAGGCTGTGGACAGCTTCACAGTGCGGTGCTCAATCCCCTGCGCCACCAGGGAGGCCCCTGTTTCTTGTTTTTTTAAAATCTACAAGGCTTCCTAAGCAGAGCGAACTACTGATTTAGGAGTTCCCAGATTAGGAAATACCAAACTTATGTGAACTGATGGCCAAATTCTAAACATAAATACATCAGAAAATTAAGCAAAGGAGTGTTCTGCTGGTCTGTACAGTCACAGCAGGAAGCTGAGATTCTGACAGTTGACTGGCAGAAAGGAAAGAGCAAACCACTGTAAGTGTTAGATATTCTCACAACATCTTACACAAGGAGAGGGACACCACTGGTCTGAGCAGGCCATCTTTACTGCTTCACCCCACTGTGCACAGGACTTCACTGTGCCAAAGTGAGAAAAAGGAGGCCCCAGGTTCTGTATCTCCTCAAGAGCCAAAAATGATATTATGGATAACAAAAATGTTATTATGCATATTATGCATTACAATGCATATATTTGTGATATTATCAATTTAAGCAGCTTTAAAACATACTTAAGAACTATTAAAATATACTAAAAAATTTCAAACACTGTTTTAGTTATCGTTAATGGATTTAATATACGATTTTAAGTCCTCTTTCAGTTTATATCATTTTTTTTAAAGATTTATTTATTTATACATATAAGAACTGGGGTACAGGCCAGAGGTGTGGATGGTGAGAAGATTCACCAGAGACAGAGTGGGGAACAGAACAGGCAGACGGACCGAAGTGCACTGCTGAGGGGAGCAAAGGCCAAGTCAGGAGAGGTCTGCTGCGCCATGTGGGTTGCTCCCTGGCCGGCCAGGGAATTGAACTCATGCTACAGTGGCTGCAGATTGCTTCACAGGTTGTATCTTAACCCTCAGCGCCACCAGGGAGGCCCAGTTTATATCATTTATTATGTTAGTATTATTGTGAGCATAATATGAACTTCTAAATAATAAACAGTATATTATTTAACATCAAAGGAATTCTATCTTACCTTCTTATCAGTCTCAGAATTCCTGGTATATTTGTCTGAACAAAAAATTCACGTCATTGCAGCTCAGAAGTTAGTAACAATCATGTAGAAGGAAGTCTTCAAAATCTTTATAAAAACGTTTACCCACTTGTGAATCAAATGTGGTCAAGTGATATGCCTGGAGCAAGGTGATTCTGACTTGACCAGCAATTACCTAAAATATCCTGACGTGTGTAATAATTGGTATGGTGAAAATGAATTGCTGGAATTTCCAATAACCCATTCACAATCCTCTAGGTTTAGGTGGAAATAAGCACCAAAGTAATGGGAGAAATAAAAACAACTGGCTCCCTGGCGGTGTCACTTTGCAGAGTGGCCAAATAAACCCCTGCCAGTGCTTTCAGTTGGTCAATGTAATTCACAAGTGGATAAATATGAAAAATTAGCATTGTGGCTAAATTAGTAAAATAAAACCCCCTGATTAGTTGCAAAGAAAAGGAAAGCATGACAAATAAAATTACCTGATGAAGACTCAGTATCGTCCAGTTTTTTCCAGCAGATGCAGTTTATAACTCCAGTGCTATCATCCACTGTGACAGAAGCATAAAAGGGTAGATGACAGATTTGGACATTGCTGGGACAGTTGGAGAATTAGCACATCATCACTGCATTCAGCCTTACCAAAAGATGGCATTTTTAATAGCCTGGTTGGGCAAATCCCTTGTCAAGCCTTTGTTTCATTACAGAATAGGTCGCCCCATTATCTGCACAGGTCAATGTCATACATGAACCTAGCAGAGGAAGTCAACATTTCACCTATCCTACCTCCAGGGTACAAATGGCTCTTGAATATATATTTTTCCTAGAAATGTTGTCCTCAGGGAGTGAAGTGCAAAATGCCAATGACTCTGCGCGCACACAGTCAGCTCTGCCCTCCTACCCTTGCACAAGATTGCATCATGGTCTGTGGTTGTGGCCCAGGCACTCAGCATGGCGCCTCCTGTCACTATTTGCTCTCTCCCTGGCTTGCTGACTTGCCAAGACAAAGCACCCTGAGTCTTTTGGCCTGGACTTTTCTTTGTGACAGTGCTTCTGCCCAGTCCTTTCCACTGCAGGATAAGTAAGGAAGTCAAGTATGTCATAGAAAGGCAAGGTTTTATTTTTATAATAGAAAATAATGAAATCTTGGTCACATAATTAATACTGATCTGGCCTACTTATTATCCCTAGTGAAAAAAAAAAATCAAAGAATCCCCACAGCACCTGCACTGTTAACTGCAGAGAAATTTGGAGATGTTTGCCATGGGATGGCAGGTGTTCTCTCGTTGCCTAATTTCTGACGAAATTACAAGAGAGGTTGCTAGGCATGGGATGAGTGGGCTTAATGATTTTGAAAAAAATCATCAGCTAGACTATTGTAAAAGCATATGAAAAAAATGAAGAAACAGTATTTCATTGTTGGTTTAAATCTGTGTTAAAAGCAGAAGACAAGAAGAATAGTTCTTATACTAAAATAAACTCTAGATGGGTTTAATTTTGTTAAATGCAAAACAGAAAGTATGGGTGAATATGTTTTAACTTTGGGCTGATAGTTGGTGGGGTTGGGAAGAGATTTCTTTAGCTGACCTAAAAATAAGAACCCATTTAAAAATAAAGTCTGAAATCTGATTCACTAAATACTAATACTATATAGCAGTTCCCCAAGTGATGGGTTAGTGTCTTAATGAATATAGAGTTCATACAAATCAATAAGGAAAGAGCAAGACTGTAGGAGAAAAAGTAGAAAAGAGAATGTACTGTATAGAAGATATAAAAATGGCCAATGAAGATATGTCTGTATGTTATATTCATTAGTTACCAGAAAAAAAACCAAATTTAAATAATTTCTCAACCATTAGAATGACAAATATTAAAAATACTGACACTCTCATATGCTGTTAGTAGGAATTTACATTAGCACCAAATTTCAAAAGAGCAAGTTTGGAAATATGCATCAAATTTTGAAAGGTATACACCCTATAACTTAGCAATTACTTCCAGTAATTCTTCCTGAGGCGCAAGACAGAACATATACACGGGGGAGGGGGGGTGTAAGTCTGCTTTAAGGCTGTTCATTGCAATATTGTTTACAGTGCTGAAGCTGGAAACAACCTAAATGTTTTAGGCATAGCATATGAGAATAAAAGTTATAATGAAAAACTATACTCATTGCTGTTAAAAGATATTCATGCCTCATTGAAAAACAGAAACCTTAAGTATAAACTATTTTATATAAAACATTAGTGTACTTTCACAGAAATGATTTTTTTAATAAAGTTTTTCTGTTATTCTATATTGTTATCTTTTTTTTAAGATTTATTTATTTTATGCATACAAGATCTGGGGTACAGGCCAGAAGTGCGGGGAGTGAGAGGATTCACCAGAGACAGAGTGGGGAACAGAACGGGCAGATCTGCTGAAATACACTGCTGAGGGGAGCAGCAGAAGAGACAGGAGAGGTATGCTGTGCTATGTGGGTTATCTTCCTGGCTGGGAATTGAACTCGTGCTGCTGTAGTTGCAGATAGCTTCATAGTGCTGAGACTCAATCCCTTGCGCCAACAGGGAGGCCCCAGAAATGATTTTTAAGACATTGAGATGCTAATAGTTTCTTTTGGAGAATGAGGATGGAATCTTACACACACTACTTGTCTGCACATGTCATACATGAACGCAGAACTATTTAAAATAAAGAAATAATTGTAACAGTTATATATCTATATTTTTCAATGTTAGGAACATGTTAGCAATAGTAGGAAGGAGAGTCAACCAATCATTGACACTGCTTTTGTCTGACCTGTTTCCTCCTTTTGCACTTAGCCAACGGATGTGGCTCCAACAGGGCCTCCTGATAGAGGACAGCATGGGCTCTATCCCAGCAGTCCTGAAATCCCAGTCCTGAAAGGGCAGGCTGCTTCAAATTCAACGTTCAGTGAAGTGGACCCTTCCATTCAATACATAAACTCCATGTCAGACACAATTGCTCTTACCTCCATAACTGTAGAAAGCATCTCTTTCTCTTATTGCAACAACAGTTCCCAAGATATCTACCTGTCTTATCGGATGCCCGTTGTAAAAATATACACCTGAAATTAAATAAACAAACAACAAAAGGCAAAGTCTGTATGATCACATTATCTGCTTCATTAAGTGTTAGCTATGGGGTGGAGGCAGGGGGTGGGAGTGGATGTCAAAAATCAGTGGCATGTTGTTTGCTCAAATTCCAGACTCAAGAACCAGCCCTCAACAAAGGGCAAGCCCCAAGAAGTTCTCATGTCTTTTCCTTAAGGGCCCTATGTAGAAAGCCTGGTGTTACAGCTGCTCCCATTAGTCTGAAAGGAGGAAGTTGCCCAAGTAGATGTTGCTGATGGGTATTTGCATGTGTGAGAATGAGATGCACTTAGGTTACAGATTACAACTCAAATACTTCTCTTTAAAATTCTATTTTCAAAACCCACACAAGAGATCTGGAGAAACTGAAGGACAAACTATGTCCACTGACACCACAGGGTGTCTGGTCTCAGGGACAGAACACAGAGGGACATCCTGGCAGCGATGAGTCCCTGACTCCAACTCGAGAGTCCAGTGTTGTCGGGGCTCCTGCAGTGTTTCCCTCCAGTGGTCCCCCAACATCTGTACCTGGACTCCCTATTTTGACTTAAGCTACTAATGTTGAGTTTCTGTCACCTGCAGCTAAAGAGTCCTTACTTTTTTGCTCCCCGTGATGGCAGAATTATTTACTTTCAGAAAGAGGTCAAAAACTTTAGTGATTCCCTTTAAAATAAACATATGAATTGTGAATAAAGAATCATTTATTATATCAGACATTTGGTCATCTCCTCTCTTGTCCCCCAAGTCTGATCAGAGGCTCGCTTCTCCGTACCCATAAGGCTGGGGCCTGTGAGCTGAACCCCATGCCCTCCAGAACCCCCAAAATGCCTCCCACGGGTGGTTCCTGTATAGATAAAAGTGCTGTAGATGAGTCACTCATAGCAGAGTCCCAAGAGATAGAGTAGTCTCTGAGTCTCAGTCAGAGAGATTCTAGAAAAATGAAATGGTCAAAAAAGTAAACGGTGGCAAATTAAGTCAAAACAAGAACACTTTTCCTCTTCATGGGCATATTTCCACAGATGACCAATTGGATTGGAGACCAGGCCCAGGGAAATGATGGGGGCCATGAGCTGAAATGGCATGGCCACATGAGGCAAGCAGTCAGTACCCTAAAGCAGAGCTATCCCTATCTAGGAACACTGGATTGAATAGAGACAAGCTGGTTCCACAGAAAATACTGAGACTTTAAGAACAGGACAAATTCAACTGACTTGTTGAGCTCTTATCATGAAATCCAGGGCTCTCAGGTACCAACTTTGGCCAGACCCTTCAGTCCTCCGCTCATGCCTGCCTGCACGGAGCAAACACAAAGGAGAGGGGGTACCACCTTGGTAGAAAAGCTCAGGCTTCTGTATGGCACAAGGGAAGTTCAAACTTGCCCCAGGGATGCAGGCAGTTCCCCCATGGAAGTGTATCCCATTATGATGCCTGACCAGCTTGTGTGCAGAGAAGGGCTACAGTACAGCATTGTTTTGCTGAAGGGCCAAGTGGGGCTCAGAGTGTCCTGAGGTTTAGACCAGAGCTCTAGCTGCAGTCAGCCCTCTCTGCTTCCCCAAGTGTACTGTACATGCACTATTACCTTCTATTTGTGCATGGAGCAAAGTTCCAGAAAACTGTTGGCCTCCCCCTCCCCCAGTCCAGCTTAAGGTCTGCCCTGGTTGCCAGGCACTGTTTGCACTAGCAACAAATACTACGGGTTCCACGTGGTGAGTGTGGCTCACGGGACACTGGCAACTGGAGGCAGAGCTGTGAGCCTTTTCAATTCAGGAAGGGCCTGCTCACTGCCCCATAATATCTTTTCAGAAGATCCTGGAGCCACTGTGGGGTATTGTGCTGTTGATGTCTGAAAGCTTGAGATAAGTCCCAGTATTCGTTGGGTCTCCCTAGGACACCCTGGTACGTGCAATTGTGGTTTTTATAGTGAAAAACTGACATTCTTTAACAAAGGGAAACGAACTGGTCAAAAGGTGTTCTATCCAGTCCAGTCTATGGAGAAGACCATGAGAAGAGTGGACAAATGACATAAGCCAGTGAAGTCCTCAAGTCACCTGTGATGGAGGCCAATCCTCCAATATCACACAGTCTGTGTTGGGCCACATTAATAAAACCTCTGATGAAATCTTTACTTAAGGATACAGGAGACTTTCTTGAAAAGGGAGCACCGCCCCCCCCCCCCAAGCTTTCATCTCATGGAGTAAGAAGGGCTCATCGTCAAGGATAGACACAATCACTCAGAGATGAAAAAAGAAAAATCTTTCCATTCACAAGTAACTGATGCAAAAACACCTTTTGTTATTTTTTAAAGGTATTCTTTGCTGTTTGCACATTCCTAAATTTTACACAATTTGCTTTTTTCTTTATGACAACCAAGCCAAACATAACAATACAAAAATAAAATCCTAGACTAGTGGCATTCCCCACCCCTCACAACCCTGAAGTGTAGTCTAAAGAAGCTTATTCAGTAAAATCATTGATGTCTGCTGTAACCATGAGGTTTCATTTTTTAAAACTAAATCTAAAACATTATCACTGTGATACAGTAAGTATCAGTGACCAGTTTTCCAGGTTTGTTGTTAATGCAGAATAAAATTCCTTACCCATGGGAAGAGTTAAGCCCCTATCATGCCCCCGATACTTCCTTGAGCATCTACAGAAGATCCTTAAGCAAGGCTGGCATTTGGGGTGAATTAATTTCTTCCCCAGAGGATGAGCTATGAAGAATACCAGGCTGTTCTGGAAAAAGAACAACTGTGAGGGAGGATGGGACTCCTTCCAAGGAAAAAACAGACCACTTCCAACAATAATTAGGAAACAAAGGTGTGGTGAAAAATCTGTACAAAAGGCTTTAGTGTAAGGTCATCCAAATATATTTATACATAGAACTGGAAACACACAAACGTCCTCTTATTAAATTAACTACTTCTGACTCATGGCTTCCTATTGATTCAAAGTAAAAGTTTAACCAAACTTTTCATTTAGCACAGCATACATGTGAAGATCCATCTACAGCTCTAGGATTTAAATCTACCCCAAACTATCCTTGTTATATTTTTAGGTAGGAACAGCCTATCTTTAGTAATCATCACTCTAATTTTTAAATAAAGTGATTTATTTGGTTTTACATTTATAATACTTTGTTGCTCCAATTATTATTTCTTGACAGCCCACTGTTGTAAGCACTGGGATTACATAAGTGAATGAGGCAGATGATGTCCTTCTTCCCATGGAGTTTATATCACTTTGATTCTGATTAATTAAAAATAAAACTCCACAAGGAAATAAGACATGGTTAATCTGTTTTTAGAAAAAAAATACCTGAGCTTTATAGGAGGTAAGTCACAAACCCTGGCCAGGTTAAGTGCACAGTTAGGGAAGGGAGCAAGGCCTAGGGATGCCTGGTCCAGTGAGTGCTTCATTAAGAAAAGGCCCATGGGGAAAAAACTGAGCATTTTTACACAGGAAAGACTTCAAGCAGGTAAAAAACATTCCACAGTACAAGTTACTCTACTAAGCATCTGTCAAAAATAATAAAGATTTATAAAATGTGGTATACAGACAGGAATACTATGCAGCCATGAAAAGGGACTAAAGCTTGCCATTTGTGACAACATGTGTGGACCTGAAGGGTATTATGGTAAGTGAAGTATGTCAGACAGATAAATACCATGTGATCTCACTTAGATGTGGCATCTGAAAAACTAAGAAAAGCATAACCAAATTCTTAGTTACAGAGAACACATTGGTGGTTTCTGGAGGGGGGTTGAGGACGGTGAAATGGGTACAAATTTCCAGTTATAAAATAAAATAAATCACAGGAACGTAGGGTAAGGCATGGGGCCCAAAGCAATAATATAGCAAATTTGAAAAATTTTTCTAAAAACAGATGAAAAAGACTTATTGTGAACATTTTGCACCGTATACAAATGTCAAATCATGTTTCACACCTGAAATGAATACAACATTGTATTCGTTGTAAAATGTATTTTACATTTTAAAAAAAGGTTCACACACTCTTTTTAACTTGCATAGAAATGAACCCATTCTATGGTCCAGGCGAGGTCATTTTCAAAGCTTGCAGCAGGGAAGACAGTTGGGGGACAGAGGGTGGGGTGCAGATGCAGCACAGGACATCCAACAGGCCAACCAGTCACATACCTGGCACCTGGGAGGATTCCTTCAGGTCCAGGATATCCCCGATGTAGAGTTTCGCAAAGGCCAGAAATACAGGATCCAAACCCCACAAAAGGGAAGGGGTTTCCTCTTCGCACAGCCTGAATTCAGATTGCATCAGGAGGCGAGGCTGTGGCTTCCAGCCAACCTTAGGAGGCTTCACGGACTGGAGGATCTAGCTGATATACACAAACATCAGGATGTGAAGCAGTTATAAAGGACTAAATTGGCATCGCCCCAAGCTGGTCCTAGTTGGGCATCCAGAACTCTGGGAGGGTTAAGTGCAGGAGTCCAAGTCTATCAAACTGCGGGTCTTGAGGAAGGGGCATTCCTCAGGTGAGCACCTGTGAGCTTCATAAGGCTCCCCCCCCCCCAAATCTCCACTAGCCACGCGAGCCTTTCCTTCCCCCAAAACATCAACTTCGAAACGGCTGAACACCCCCTTTCACTTTGGGGAGATGTCCATAAAGGCGTACCCTGCAAATGCTTTAATGGGTGGGGCCCTGGAATGAAGGGGTGCCCTCGAGGCCATAAACGTTTTGGAGCAGAGCAGGTGGCTCCCCCAGTTCTCCTGTCCCTGAACCTTCCGGTTTGCGGAAGGAGAACGGGAAAAAGGGGAAACGGAAGCCAAACCAGACCCACTCGCAGCCCCTCCCGCCGCGCCGCGCGTCCAGCCAGCTTTTCCCCGGGCGCGCAGGCAGGACGCGTCCTTCCGGCGCTGGAGTTCCGGCGGGAAGCGACGTCGGCCCCCGCGCCGCACGAACCCGCGAGTCCCGGCCGGGCTTCTCCTCCGCCCCGCCCCCGCCCTCCCTGCCCTCGGCCACGCCCCATCTCTCGCGAGGCCCCACCCCCACCAGCGAGGCTCCGCCCCCGGCGCACGAAGCCCCGCCCACACCCGCGCCCCGCCGCGGCTCCGCCCCAAGCTGTCTGTTCCAGGAGGCGGCTGGGCTGGCGGGGTCAGTGTGGGTAAAACCCAGGCGGGTCCATAACCCCGAACTCCGCGGACCTCGGCCGGCGTGCAGAACCCAAATCCCCACGGTCTGGCCATCGTCCCTGAAATAAATTCCGGCTGCCCAAGTCACCCTTTCGTCCTACTCGCCTCCACCCCACCCCCCAACCCAGAGGTGGCACCCTGAGCCAGGGCTACCAAGGTGTCTAAGAGGACCTCCAAGATGATGATGATTGTTATTTTGGTTCCTGATATTGAAGTAAACAAATAAAACAATACAAAAAGTAAAATTACGCTGTAGCGTTTTCTTTTCTTTTGTTTTTTAAAAGATTGATTTATTTATGCATGCAAGAACTGGGGTGCAGGCCAGAGGTGTGGGGGATTAGAGGATTCACCAGAGACAGAGTGGGGAACAGAACAGGCAGATTGACTGAAATACATTGCTGAGGGGAGCAGTGGGAAGACAGGAGGGGTGTGCTGAGCCAGCTGGGTTGCTCCCTGGCAGGGGATGGAACTCATGATGCAGAGGCTGCTAGGATAGCTTCATAGTGCAGTGCTTAACCCCTTGTGCCACCAGGGAGGCCCCTACATTGTGGCATTTTCTAAGTGTTTATTTACGCTTGATAAATGATCTAACACACACTTTGGGGCTCCTAGTCTCACTTGCAGATAATCTCAGTATCTAAATTTGAGCCCTTAACTGCCTATGACGTCTTGGCTCTGCCCAAAACTTGCCCTATCCCATTACAACAAATTTGCCTCCTGCCTCTTTCTCCATCTATACTCTGGAATGTTGTACACTGAAGAATTTTGAAAAGCTATCATGGCCACCTTGAGGGTGCTTGTCCCTAACATCCCTGATTGACAGTGAGGAAAGATATCCATGTTCCACTCACATAAACAAATAAATAAACTACATCATGACATTACTCAAGACAGCAAGAATTCTTCCTAATTTATAGGGACTCTAAGAAATGGCAGGAGGAGTACAGGTCACTCTGACTGGTCATTTCTGGTGGAGGAGGTGTTAACCAAAGACATAACTACTAAACAATTAACAGAGAAGAAACTTCAAGCAGCTGGAATGGAAAATGTGTGTCATTTGAAAGATGTCGTTTGATTACATCCCTGACCACTGAAGAAGCTAAGAACCAGAGTCTTGGGTTAAATACACCATAGCCCAGATGCACTGCGGTGCAGCTGGGCCTTCGAGGAAGCGCAACAGTAGGAGGAATGCATCCGGTTGACCTGTCAAATGGGGAGAAACAGGTTGGGCAACATTTTTGTGACTGTACACATCTGCATGAGGGTGGAACCCAAAAGAAAATCATGTTGGTTGTACTCAGAGTCTGAGGAAACTTCAGGAATGACTTTTAAGGCTCTCAGGAGCAGAGTGCTAGAGACAAGAGCCCTTAGGAGCTCCAGCTTACTGCCAGCCTGGGGAGGCAGTACACCAGGGGGCAGAAAAGGGTGGGCAGAGCAGACTGACTCTGAAGTTATCTTTTACAAGGAAGGGAGGACTTTTTGAAGTCTAGGGGCACTCCTATTGGTTTGTGCTCAAAACTTGAAGGAGTAGCTTGCAATTAAAACCCAAGATGAGATGTAGAACAGAATTTCCACTTTGCAAAAATGTTTAGTGGAATCAGGAAGAGCTTCTTGCCAGCCATTTCCATCAGCATATAGTCCAGGTTCCGTATGCCACCATCTACAGGTTTGCAAAGGGACTTCAGAAATCATAACCTAAAGGGCTTTAACCTTGGGATTCTACAACACTCAAAGCAGATATTTCAAAGCACAATAATCAGCACTTGATACTGGGAACTGTTCTTATGTCTTCTCAATATTGAAACCACTTGGTTTTGCAAGCATTTTTCATAGACCAGACAATTCCTTCTGGATTTTAGCAAATGCTTCTGGAAATGAAGGCATTGAAGTGTAAAACTCCTACCTCAAAGCTCAATCTCCCCTTCACCATTTTTGACATTTCGCAGGTATAATGGAGTTTGTCCATTTTCTGTTTGAGGTTTATAATAAAGATTACTTATCAACGTTCTTACTATGCTGATGTTATAACCCTTGGGGCCATCTTCAATCATTCAGCATACCTTGAGCACTCTCTATTTGCTATGTGGGAGCACTAAGAATTTTTACTTCATTGAAGCAAAAAGAGTGATGCAAGTAATATACTAAATAACAAATACAGAATGTGTGACCTGTACGCACAATGTATGGACCTGTATGTTACAGGGGGTAAATGGTGTGGGTTAGCTACATACGATAACATATATAACCACTGGAACAAGGTAAGTACTTATATATGTATATATATATATATATATATATATATATATACATATATATATATGTAAAGCAGAGGAAGGGCAACATCTGGAGACAGGAGAGTACTTCTGTGTTGGAAGCAAGCCAACACAGCAGCCTGTCTGGAGAGGGCAGCTCTGGTAGAAATAGGCTGGAGGTTGATTTTAGCTAAGTTCTCAAGGGGTTGAATTCACTACTACTTTTATTCACTGTAAGAAATAGGGCATTGTTGATTGTTGGTCAGAGGAATGATTTTATGAATTTAAAAAACTGCAGGGATACCTGCCACATCTACCATACTACGGCATGGAATAAAAAAAAATACGTTAAGAGTTTTCTAGCCAGGGCCTCCCCGGTGGCGCAGCGGTTGAGCGCTGGGTTGCGAAACTGAGCGCGGCCTCTGCGGCGCCGGTTCGATCCCCAGCTGCTCCCCGGCCACCAGAGGAGGGTCCCACATGGCGCGCAAACCTCTTCTGCCGCCCACTGCTCCCCTCAGCAGTGTACTTCGGTCCTTCTGCCTGCTCTGCTCCCCGCTCTGGCTCTGGTGAATTCTCTCACCCTCCCGCGCTTCTGACTGTACCCAGTGCATGTATAAACAAAACAAACAAACAAACCAGCAAACAAATAAATAAAGCATGCCTCTATAAAAAAAAAAATAAATAAATAAAAAAAAAAAAAAAAAGAGTTTTCTAGCCAATTCACTGAGTCTAGCCTAAAAATTGTGTCTTAGAGATATTCAACAACTGATGCTAAAGAAACTAGAGTAAAAAAATATTGCTGGACCTAATACAATGGGTTTCCCCTGTCCTCTTTTCCTGCTTCCTCAACAGCCTTACACAATCCCTATGATGTCACCCTCCTCCTCCCTCTCACTCCCCCTTGGCAATACACATGTTTTCCCCCTTCAAGAGCCACCCAACTTTAAGAAAACATCCTGAAGACCTAAGTTTTTCTGACTAATGTCCTTTCACGCTCTTTCTCTCCTTTCAAAGCTAAATTTCTCCCAAGAGTCATATGCATTCCCTATCTACATGTCCTCTAGGTTAACTTGCCATATAATTTGGCTCACCTTACTCTACCCACCAACTGACTCTACCCCATCTCACCACTCTGCTGAAACTTCTCTCCTAAAGCTAACAACTACCTTCAAATTCTCAAATATAATGAATACTTTCCTTTCCTTATCATTCTTCATCTTTCACCCCATGATTTTCTAGCCTTTGATGTTGAGTTGATCACATTCTCTTCCTGCCCCTACTTGAATTTCTTTAGATTTCCTTTTGGTTACTCATCTACCTCTGTTTCTTCGTAATGTCTTTTTCTCTGTTAATCTTTTACATACTGGTGTTCCCCAAGGTTTAATCTTCCCAATCCCTTCTCACCTTATGTACTCTCTCTGAGTAGCCTCACCCAAACTTATGACTTTAATTGAGCCAATATTCCAGCAACTCTCACTTCTTCACTTCTAGCCCCAAACTCTCTCCTAAGCTCCTCATCTGAATTTTTTTTTTTTTTTTTTTTTAATTTTCTAGAGGCATGTCTTATTTATTTATTTATTATTTGTTTGTTTGTTTGGTTTATACATGCACTGGGTACAGTCAGAAGCGCGGGAGGGTGAGAGAATTCACCAGAGCCAGAGCAGGGAGCAGAGCAGGCAGAAGGACCGAAGTACACTGCTGAGGGGAGCAGCGGGCGGCAGGAGAGGTCTACGCGCCATGTGGGACCCTCCTCTGGTGGCCGGGGAGCAGCCGGGGATCGAACCGGCGCCGTAGAGGCCGCGGGTAGCTTCGCAACCCAGCGCTCAACCGCTGCGCCACCGGGGAGGCCCTCCTCATCTGAATTTCTGACTGGACTCTCCGAGGTACCTCAAAATAAATCTCTTCCCCCACAGTGCTGCCCCCTTCTTCCTTGTCAAATGAATGTCATCTCCATCCCCTTATGTCAGAAAACTGAAAGAGTTCATGGACCCCTCCCTCTCTCATCCTTAGAGGCAATAAATGATGAGGACCTGTCAGCTCAGCTTCCTAAAAATGCTTTCTTTATTTAATCTCTACTCTGCTCTTGTTATCATAACCTAGTTCAGGCTTTCATCATTTATTGCCTGCATTGCTGTCACTACTTCAACTAGTTCTTTCTATTTCTTTATGAAATATCCCTCTTTGTTCTTAGTAATATTTCTTGTCTTTAAGTCTATTTTATCTAATCTTAACATAATCACTCCAGCTCTCTAGGTTACTGTGTGAGTGATATATCTTTTTCCATCTTTTTACTTTCAACATATTTGTCTTTGAACCTAAAATATGCCTCTTGTAAATGGCACAGAGCTGGATCTTGCCTTTTTATCTTATCTGACAGTCTCTGCATTTTGATTGGGGTGTTTAGACCATTTACTTTTAATTTAATTTTTGATAAGTTG